ATTATAGTGATACTTTCTCTCCCGTGGCTAAAGTAGCATATGTTCGTCTTTTTTTGTCCATGGCTGTTGTACGCCATTGGCCTCTTTATCAGTTAGACATTAAGAATGCTTTTCTCCATGGTGATCTTGACGAGGAAGTTTATATGGAGCAACCACCTGGTTTTGTTGCTCAGGGGGAATTTAGTGGTTGTGTATGCAGATTGCGCAGGTCATTATATGGTTTGAAACAGTCCCCTCGAGCCTGGTTTGGTAAGTTCAGCACAATTATTCAGGAGTTCGGCATGACTCGTAGTAAAGCTGATCACTTTGTGTTTTATCGGCATTTTGCTCCGAATCTGTGTATTTATCTGGTGGTTTATGTTGATGATATTGTTATTACTGGCAACGATCAGGATGGTATTACTAATCTGAAGCAACATCTCTTTCAGCACTTCCAAACTAAGGATCTGGGCAGTCTGAAGTATTTTCTAGGTATTGAGGTTGCTCAGTCTAGCTCCGGTATTGTTATTTCACAGCGGAAGTATGCCTTAGACATTCTTGAGGAGACTGGAATGATGGGTTGCAGACCTATTGACTCTCCTATGGATCCGAATGCTAAGCTTCTGCCTGGACAGGGGAGCCTCTTAGAGACCCTACGAGATATAGGAGGTTGGTTGGCAAATTGAATTACCTCACAGTGACTAGACCTGACATTTCTTTTCCGGTGAGTGTTGTAAGTCAGTTTATGGATTTTCCCTGTGATAGTCACTGGGATGTAGTTGTTCGTATTCTTCGGTATATAAAGTCAGCTCCAGGCAAAGGATTACTATTCGAAGATCGAGGCCACGAGCAGATTGTTGGGTACACAGATGCTGATTGGGCAGGATCACCTTTTGATAGACGATCTATATCTGGATATTGTGTTCTAGTACGAGGTAATTTGGTCTCGTGGAAGAGCAAGAAACAGAATGTAGTTGCTCGATCTAGCGCCGAAGCCGAATATCGGGCCATGGCTNGAAAATCTAGGAAAAATGAAGGATGAGTTGTACAAGAGAGATGAGCAGATAAGAGTCCTAAAAGAAGATCTAAGCAAGGTGAAGCATGAACTAGACAGAACTTGCAAATCCGAATAAGTCCTCTTATGCACTATCCTGGCTACAAGAGCATCATAGTAGCAATAAGAGAGGACTTGGCTATGGGACCCCAGCACCTAAGTGGGATCCCAAAAGCAAGTAAATCACACTTCCTAAGAACAAACACACGGTGGCAAGACTGGTCATTACAAAAGTGAGTGTAATACAAAAGAAAAGTCCAGTCAAAAGAACAAAATCTTTGTTCAAAGAAAAAATAAGATGTTTGTGTTAGATATGTACATAATGAAGTTTTGTCCCACATTGGAATAGGAGTAGTATGTCCTTGTATAGTATAGCTATAAATAAGGACCTCTTGTATTGTATTGAACACACAATATCAATATATCATATTTTCTCCCNATATTGTATTGAACACACTATCAATATATCACATTTTCTCAATATATCATATTTTCACCCGTGCCTTCTCACAGTGTAAACTTTCTTCTTTCAACAGGAATTTTGTTTGGTTTCTCACTGGGGTTCATGCTTCAAACTGTAGAAGGGAAAGAGAGGAGCTATGGTGGGAGCTGGCAGGGACCAGAGGAGTTTGTGAGGGTGCTTGGGTGGTATGTGGTGATTTTAACACCACTAGGTTTGCCTCCGAGAGAAAAAAAACAACAGGGGTGTCACTAGGGCCATGAAGAAGTTTTCAGAAACTATAAAGGATTTGGAACTCATTGATCCTCCATTATTAGGAGACAGTTTTACATGGGATAAAGATTAAAGAGAACAACCATGAATGTTCCCCAAGAATAGATAGATTTCTCTTTTCAGTTGAGTGGGATGAAGAATTCAACATCAAATAGTCATTGCTTCCCAGAATGTCATCTGACCAATGTCCTATTTTTTTAAAATGTGGGCAATGGGAATTTTCAAAATCCTATTTCAAATTTGAGAATTGGTGGAAGGAGGTGGAAGGATGGTGGAATTCTTTTGAGATCACAGAGAGATCTGATTATGTTCTGGCTAAGCTTAAAATGCTGAAAACTAAGCTGAAGGAATGGAATGTGTCAAATGGTGGGAGCCTAAAGATGAAAAAGATGGACCTACTTAACCAAATTTCTATATTATGGATCTTTTGCAGGAATAAAGACCACTAAATGAGGATGAATGACTGGAAAAGGCCAGCTTGCACATGGAATTCCAGGAGATTGGAAAAAATGAAGAGAGAGCTTGGAGGCAAAGGTCTAGAATTCAATGGTTGAAGCATGGGGATAAGAATACTAAGTTCTTTCAGAAGATGGCAAATTACCATAAATGAATTAACCATATAGACAAGCTGGAGGTCCAAGGGGAACTTATTACTGAGCCAGATGGAATCAAAAGGCAGATTGTATCTTTTTACCAGGAGTTATATGGAGAAACTGAAAATTGGAGGCATGTTTTCAATCTTCAAGGTGGAGCTATTATTGCAGAGGAAGAGAATGACTGGCTGCAAGAGAATTTGAAGAACATGAAGCGCTGGAGAGTGTGAAATGTGCAGCAGACAAAGCACCTTGTCCTGATGGTTTTTCAATGGGTTTCTTCCATACTTGTTGGGAGATAGTGAAAGAAGACCTCATGAACACCATTAAGAACTTTCATTGTAATGAGTTAATTGAGAAGAGCTTCAATGCTTCCTATATAGCTCTTATTCCCAAAAAGAATGGTGCAAAGGAACTCAGGGATTTTAGACCTATAAGTCTAATATGAAGTGTTTACAAGATCATATCAAAGTTGTTGACAGAGAGGCTTAAAGAGTGTGGTTGACAAAGTAGTGAATGGGCATCAAATGGCTTTCAAAAGAGGCAGACAGATAATGGATGCTTCATTGATTGCAAATGAATACGTGGATTCTAGACTTAAAGGGCAGACCCCTGGAATTTTGTGTAAACTTGATATTGAGAAGGCTTACGACCATGTCAACTGGAACTCTCTCCTAAAAGTTTTAGAGGACATGGGTTTTGGGAGGAAGTGAATCAACTGGATTTCTTCAGCATCAAAACTGTGAGATTTTCCATCCTAGTAAATGGTTTACCTGAGGGTTTCTTTCTTCAGAGAGTGGTCTGAGGAAAGGTGATCCTTTACCTCCCTTCCTCTTTCTAGTTGCAATGGTAGAATTGAACCAAATATTAAGGGATGCCAAAGGCAATGGTTGGCTGAAGGGATTTAAAGCTTCAAACAGGGGGGAAGCAACATAGAGATCACCCACCTTCTCTATGCAAATGATTCTTTGGTATTCCGCAATGCTGACGCAGATCAGTTAAAATACCTAAGGACCATCCTGGTTATTTTTTAAGCATTTTCAGGGCTCCATGTTAACTGGAAAAAGAGCATGCTCTTTCCAGTCAAAGAGGTTGAAAATGTTCAGGTGCTAGCAGCTATTCTAGCATGTAAGGTGGGTCTTTACCAACTACTTATTTGGGATTATACTTGGGTTTCAAATACAAAGCTCAGGAAATATGAATGGGGTAGTTGAAACTTGAAAGATGTGAAAAGAGGTTGGCAATCTGGAAGAGGCAGTATTTATCCCTAGGAGGAAGAGTATTATTGGTGAACAATTTTTTAGATGCATTGCCTACATATGTGATGTCCCTGTTTCCTTTACCCTGCAAGGTGAGGAAAAGAATTGATACCTTGAGGAGAGATTTCATATGGCAAGGGAACCAAGATAAAAAAGCTATTCACTTGGTTAACTGAAATTCTCTTATCACCAAAAGAATCAATGTAGGTCTGGGCATCAGAAACCTCAAAGCTCATAACCAAAGCTTACTTATGAAGTGGCTATGGAGGTATAATCTGGAGGTTAATGCCTTGTGGAGAAGGGCAAGTCATGACAACTATGGACAAGAGGGTCATTGGTGCGCAAAAATTGGCAACAGTCCTTGTGGGGTTGGGGTTTGGAAGTTTATCTGTCTGCACTGGAATTTTATGGCTACTCATTCCACCATCAAGGTAGGTAATGGAAGGAAAATTTTTGGAGTGAGGATTGGTTAGGACATGGTCCTCTTAGAGAATTATTCCCTAATCTGTTCAACATAGTAACATCAAAAGAAGTAAGGTAAGATACAACATGGGGACAGCAAGGATGGAATGTTATTTTCAGGAGGTTTTTGAGTGACTGGGAGCTTGAGAAAGCTAGGAGTTCTACAAGACCTTGAAAGTTTTTCAAGGTTTCAGTGATTCTGAAGATACACTGAACTGGAACCTAAACGGGGATGAGACCTACACTGTTAAATCTGTTTATCTTTTTGCCTCTAATTCAAACCAGCATATAGAACATTGGCCCCGGAGGCAAATCTGGAAAGTTAGGAAATCTCTCAAGGTGGTCTGTTTTTCATGGTTAATGGCAAGAGAAGCATGTCTAACACAAGATAAATTGAGAAGGAGTAGCTTCCATTTATGCTCTAAATGCTCACTTTGTGGTACAGCTACAGGAACCAATAGCCATTTGTTTCTTTACTGTCCTATCACTGACCAACTATGGCAACTTTTTTTCAATATTGTAGGCCTAAATGGAGTATGCCAGAAAACACTTGTGATCTGTTGACGTGTTGGAATTACAATGGGGGTATAGTGAGACAGAAGAAATGGTGGAGATTGGTTCATACTTGCATATGATGGACAGTCTGGAAGGAGAGAAATTCAAGAATTTGTGAAGACAGAAGCAACTACTTACAGAATATTTTTTTTTGATAAGGTAAATTGTATTAATCAAAAGGGAGAAAACTCCCGTATACAGCAAGTATACTAAAAAGTAGAGAATTTATATTAGACCATGATTCTCTACAAAAGACGCCCAATCTTCTATACAAGTAGGGGCTATATGAGTGCACCAAAAAGCGATGAAAGATAAATGACTATTCTTAAGATGTGAAAAAGGATACTCAATCCCCCTCAAAAGCTCTCAATCCCCTCATATTAAAATGAATTGTTTCATTTTGTTTCATTTCTGGTGTAAAGAAAGCTTTTGTAGAGGAGGCAGATCTTTAGTAGATTTGACAGGTGCTTTGTAACCTTAGAATAACATAGCTGGGGTCTGCTCTTTTTGTAAATATAACTTGGCACTGCTTTTGTGCTGTCTTTTAGTCTTATTTAATATATATACAAGTTACCTTTCTCAACCAAAAAAAAAAAAAAAAGAAAAGTCTTTGTAACGCAGTTAAACTTGAACAAGCAGATGCTACGCGCAAAACATGCACTTAAGAAACAAGCTCAATTGTGTAATTCAAAAGAATCAGATATTTAATATAAACAATGAATTTTGACACAGTACCACACTACCATAAAAGCTGGCAAAAGAAAAAATTTGCTGAGTCATTAAACATGCAGTTGACTTTTACTAGACGACAATGATATCAATTATTTCGCATGAATAAAAGAACTCAGGAATACGAAAGCAAGAGATACCTAATAATACAATTCAACGCCATTATGGTGGACATTCATTACCTTAAGTATCAGGAACTACTAAAACCATGGCACCAACACAAGGAGACATGATTCAACATTACATCAAAGCCCAAGACATTTTTAAGCAAGCATTCATTTGCAGTGATGCAGCTTGAATTCTAGAATTTGAAAATAGTCATATGAGTTTAGTAGATCTTCTAACCCACATGATGTGAAGTGATAATATTTGTCTTTACGAGTTTTGGCCTACAGGTCTCTCTCTCTCTTCGTTTCGCTAACAGTAACTCCACAGTCGGCGGCAGAACCTCCTCTCTCATCCATCGCTCTCTTCTTCTCTCCCCTCCTTTTCTTTTTCTTTCTTTTTCTTCCAATCGCTACACGTACTGCCCCCACTGCTCGCGACCGTACCAGCATCATCTACAGTCACACCACCCAGTTTATTTTTCCTCTCTCTCCCTCTTTCACCCTCTTTTGGTGTGTGGGGGGATCCGTGCTATCACACCGATGCACAAGGGACAGGGCCAATCGATTTCCGGCTCGATCCAGTAACTCCGGTCAGCTTCCTGACAAGGTCCATTATTTCCCACAACTGGAACTCCTTCACATACAAAACCAGGTTCTACCGTTCCTTTTGCTTTGCTATATTGTGCCCCCTAATACGGTTTTGTGTTCCTTAATATCCGTTAGGTTCCATTTGTTTGTTCCTTGTCGTGTTCTCAATATTTAGCCTGTCCTTTAATATTGATTCTTGTGCTCTTCAAAATCACACTGTGCTTGCCAGTATAGTCTTATTCCTAGTCGCACTTGCCTTGCTTTAACTCTACTATTGTTGCTTGTTTTATTAAGTTGTGGTACTCAGGAGGTTCGAGGAATAGGAATGGAGTAGGCATTCTAGTTGATAGAGAACTTAGGGAGCAGGTGGTAGAGATTAGGAGGGTGAACGACATGATGATGATTAAGTTAGTCATTGGAGGGCTTACTTTGAGCATAATTAGTGCTTATGCACCTGAAGCGGACTTAGGAGAGGAGGTCAAGAAGCGTTTTTGGGAGGATTTGGATGAGGTTGTGAGAGGTATACCGCAAACTAAGAAGCTATTCATATAAGGGAACTTCAATGGTCACATAAGGACTACTACATGGGGTTATGATACGGCCCATAGAGGTTTTGGCTTTGGGGATAGAAACGAAGGCGGAGTTTGCCTTTTGAATTTTGCGGTGACTTTTGAGTTGGTGATAGCTAATTCGAGTTTCTCGAAGAGGGAGGAGCACCTGGTAACCTTCCGTAGTTCGATGGCTAGGACTCAGATTGATTACTTACTGCTTAGGAAGGCTGATAGAGTTCTCTTTAAGGATCGCAAGGTTATCCCGAGTAAGAATCTAACCACCCAACATAAGCTCTTGGCGATGGATTTGAAAATTAAGAGGAAGAGGCAAAAGAAGGCCTTGTGCATCAGGCCCGAGGATCAAATTGGGTTGGCTTGACCACTGCCAGAGCTAGGAGTTAGGGGAGAAGATGGCGATGGGGGCTTGAAGGAGTAGTGGGGATGCAAACAGTATGTGGGAGAGGACAGCTAGTTGCATTAGAGAAGCCACTAGAGATGTGCTAGGGGCCTCGAGGGGTAACGATGGTGATCATCGGGGGATTGGTCGTGGAACGTAGAGGTCCAAAGAAAAGTGGAAGCCTCACATGAGGTTAGTGGAAAGCAACGACGGGAAGGATAAGCGGACACATAGAGAGAGGTATAAGGTGGCAAAGTTAGCAGGCACGGCGGCAAAAACAGCAGAGTTTCAACGCTTCTATGAAGAACTTGGGGTCAAAGGCAGCAGAAGAACCAGACAACGTTTCTTTTGCTTCGGTTATTTTATTTTTTGATTATTGTTGTTGCTTCTCTTTACATGGATTCTTCTCTTTACATGCTTTTCTTGAGCCAAGGGTCTATCAGAAACGGCCTCTCTACCTTCACAAGGTAAGGGTGAAGTCTGCATACCCTCGTAAAGCCACACATGAATCATCTCTAATTGGTGGACAAAACCAGAATCAAACAGGAAACAAAGAGCTTCAGAATCAAGATAAATGAAGTCACTCAATATGCAGCTACACAAATTACAGCCTACATGAAATTACACAATAAGAGGAACAAACCGCTATCTCGAACAAGCTCCAGTAGCGATCGGCATGTCTCCACGAGGATGGAAACATCATTAGTGTATGTTGGATTGAAAAAGAAAAGTAGCTGACATAGAAAATCTGAATCTGGACCGAAACATTGCCTGAGACACATGGGCAAAAAATAAAATAAAAGGCTAATTACCAAAAGATTCTGGAAAGAAACTCATACAACTTCATGGGATAAGCGTTAAGAAATTATCAGAGTACCCAATTACATGACCCAACAGGGGGAAGGATATAGCATCTAAAGCAAAATACTCAAGATAACATAAAAGCCATATAAGCAAACCTGTCAACACGGTGGCAGCGATCCCCATAAGTTTTTAAGAAATTCTCGCGAACTTTAGAACGCTCAGCTTCCACCTCCTTTCTACCTCTGAAGCATTTCTGTATTTAGCACTTCGACAAGTCAAAACAAAACAAAGCAACAAGTCCTAGATGATTCTATCAAGAGAGATTACCAACACATATCCAAACGATCTTGAGTCAAATAAAGCAAAAATAGAAGAGACAGGCACATAAAGATAGAGAAAGCACAAGACCAAGCATGAACTTGCAAATAACATGTCAAGATGATCCTTGAAGAAATACTCTGTCATTTCTCTCGCTATTATTGGCAAGAGAAACTAAGGGCCTAAAACTTAAAGGTTGAAACTTGAGCATGTGAGCTTACTAGGGAGAAGTGACAAAACAAGCATTTGAGGCATTTGACAATTTGTCTGGTGAAAGAAAAAGCACTTCTGTAGATCTAATCTTTCCTACAAGTGTACATCTGAGGAATAGCCTCCTGTTTTTAATGTCTTGTTGGTGAAATACTGAAATTCTTATTTGTAGAGAAGCCTAGGTATATTTGTATAGAATCATATCTTTATGTAGGTTCTCTACTTTTTGGTATGTGTATCCTGGGTGAAAGCCAACTTTTTGGTATGTGTCTTGTATATGGGAGCTTTCTCATTATCAATAAAAATATACTTGATAAAAAAAAGGAGGAAATTCCATCAATTGTGATTCCATACAATGGTTTCAAATACCGAATGACACGTTTTCTTACACGCATTTAAGATACAACTGCAGTGGTCTAGATCTTAGGGCTCCAGTCTTACTGCTTCTAAAGCATACAAACACATAACCAAACCTGATTACATATTGTATTCTTCTATCCATAATTTTATGCACATATCCTCAAACCAAGAGAGATCGATGAATAAACGTCAAGATAAATAACCGGTAAAGTTGTTGTCATGTGACCAGGAGGTCAGGGGTTCGAGCTATGGAAACAACCTCTAGTAGAAATGTATGGTAAGGTTGCGTACAATAAACTGTTATGATTCAGCCCTTCCCCGAACCCCGCGCATAGCGGAAGCTTAGTGCACTGGGCTGCCCTTTATAGTCCCTCCCTTCAGTTTAGCTAGCTTGTAAGGGGAATCTTCTAACTCATGCCAACAAATATTTTCTTGGTTAACTACTAGATTATGGAGCTAATATACAAGTTAAAACTCTTCTTTACTATCTAATATTTACGCAGTGACTAGTTCTTTTTTTTAAGAGTATGAAAGGACTAGTCTATGGGTATTGAATTATCATATCGTTAATGACAATCTGAGTAGTGAGCCCAATGAAGAAGATAATATCATAATTGCTCTTCCAGGATGTTCCGTAAGGGCCAAAGAAAGCATTAGCTTTCAAAAACTTTGGGGTCTAGTACGAAGGTTTTGAGTTGAACGGATAGACCTAAGGACATAGAATTGCGAGCAGGTAGGCTAACTGGGAGGTGACCTTGAAGTTGAAAAGCAACAAGAACTTGCGAAAAAGGAGGCTGAACTGAGAAGAGTAGTCTTCAAGATGAATTATGAAATGAGAAGTAAAGAGAGGGGAAGGATCCAAGGAAGGAGGGGTATGCAGTTAATATAAAAACCTCCCAACACGCCAATGAGAATCAAGACCTAGTATGGTAGTGAAGGGTGTGATGAAGAAACCAGAGCAAACTTGAAATGTTTATGGGGAGCAAAATGTTAAAACTGTTGAATACAATACTTTTGTTAAGTAGTTAGTCATGTATAGTATCCCACATCGGGAAATAGATACCTATTATTATGTAATCATTGTACATAAATAGGGTGTTGTATAACACTTTAGATAATCAATGATATTTTCTCCCGTGCTTTTTCACATGGTACTAGAGCTTCGGTGAGAAAAGATAGTTGCGCGTCATTCCAGCGACATCCGGGAAGAAAGAACTCAGTCACCGTGCAATTTTCCGGTGACCTAAGTGACTGTTTGTGTCAAAGTCACTATTAATCAGTGTTGTGAACAAACCAACACCACCACATGGTCAGCCGTAGTCCCGCGACCAAATCCCAGAAAATCCCACCGGAAAACTCATACACACGCGCCCTCACGCGCCGGGCAGACTCCAAATTTTCCGGGAAGATTTGTGCACGCGTCGGGCGTGTGAGACCCCTTACAGACAAATTTCGATGAACTTCCTTCAAGAAAGCTTACTCGCACAGCAATTCCGAGTCGACCAGTCCTATCCCCGACAAATCCCGACAACTTTGGAATTTTTCGGCGAGCTACAGTGTTCTCCGGCGAGAACAGTGTTTCCAGCGTAAAATAATGTTCTGATTTTCTTTTGTGAACAGTGTTTTCCCAACTATTTCTTCAGTTTTCCCGTAAGAGTTACTGATTTCCACTATTTCAAGTTAACCCTACTACTTTTAGTCAAGATTTTGAGAGATAAATTATAGCGAAATGGGATCCAATAGTATGAATGGTTGGATAGTTTCTCTATCGGATTATATTGAGTTCCTTTCAGTACAAAGCGTGTAAACATACATCTTTAGGGATAGCTTCTATTCAAACAGATAGTAGCGTGACTTGTGTCTCCCAATCTTCAACCTCCGAGTCTTGGATCATTGATTCAGGTGCATCTGAACATATTTCTGGTAACAAATCTCTTTTCACTACTATTTCATGTTCTCAATCTCTCCCAACAGTCACCATGGCCAACGGGTTTCAAACCACGGCAACTGAAATAGGTCAAGCAAGTCCACTTCCTTCCTTACCTTTAGATTTAGTTCTTTATGTTCCAGGTAGTCCTTTTAATCTCATAGCTGTTAGTCGTTCAGCCAAATCACTTAAATGCTCTGTTTTCTTTCTTGATGACCTTGTTACAGGAACGCAGTACAGGGTGGATCATTGGTACCAGGCGTGAACCAGATGGACTTTATTACTTTATCCCTGCAAAATCACATGGACTCACATCTTGTCTCACTTCAACAACTTGTCCTGTTACCGACTCACCAGATATATTACATAAACGGTTGGAAAATCCCAATTTGTCAAAACTTCAGAAAATGGTACCTAGTTTATTTCACTTGTCCACTCTAGAATGTGAGCCATGTCAGCTCGGTAAGCATACCCGCTCCCATTTCCCTCGGCGTCTTGATAATCGAGCAGTCACCTTTTACTTTAGTCCATTCAGATGTTTGGGGTCCTAGTCGGGTCAGTTTTACCTTGGGATTACACTACTTTGTCAGTTTCATTGATGATTATTCCGCACTGGGATATTTTTTATGAAAAATCGATCTAAGTTGTTTTCTATTTTCCAGACCTTCCACACTGAAATACAAAATCAATTTGGGGTTTCTATCCACATATTTCGTAGTGATAATGCCCTAGAGTATTTTTCTTTTCCATTTCAGCAGTTTATGAACTCTCGTGGGATTATTCATCAAACATCTTGTCCGTACACATCTCAACAAAATGGGGTAGCTGAAAGAATAGACATCTTATTGAAACAGCTCGTACCCTACTCATACAATCTCATGTTCTGTTGCGTTTTTGGGGGGATGCAGTTCTTACATCTTGCTATCTTATTAATCGTATGTCATCTTCAGCTATCCAGAATCAAGATCCATTCTTTGTCCTATTTTCCCACTTACCTTTGTTCTCTCCTCCACTCCGTGTCTTTGGAAGCATGTGTTTTGTTCATAACCTAACTCCAGGAAAAGATTAGTTAGCTCCTCGTGCTCTTAAGTGCGTGTTTATGGTTTACTCGAGAACACAAAAGGTGTATCGATGCTATTCTCCTGACCTCCAGCGGTACTTTATGTCTTCTGATGTTACCTTCTTTGAAACCCAATCATACTTCACAGGTCCAGGTAATCACTTAGATATTTCTGAGGTGCTACCAGTTTCATCCTTTGGAGATTCAGTCACTATCTCCCATTCATCTTCCTCTACAACTCCAGCTCCACCACCTACAGTTCCAGTTGCAGCTCCAACACCTATAGCTCAAGTTTCACCACCTAGTCCAGTTCAACCTTCTGCAGCTCCACCACTCTTGACTTATCATCGTCGTCCACGTCCAGCATCAGGCCCAGGTGATTCACGTCCTGCATCAAATTCTGCACCTACTGCGGACTTGTCTCCTCTTAGTCAACCAATTGCACTCCACAAAGGTGTACGATCCACACTTAATCCAAATTTTCATTATGTCGGTTTAAGTTATCATCGTCTGTCATCACCTCAATATGCTTTTATATCATATTTGTCCACGGTTTCTATCCCTAAGTCTACAGGTGAGGCACTCTCTCATCCAGGATGGTGACAGACTATGATTGACGAGATGTCTGCTTTACATGCGAGTGGCACTTGGGAGCTTGTTCCTCTTCCTTCAGGTAAGTCTATTGTTGGTTGTCGTTGGGTTTACGCAGTCAAAGTCGGCTCAGATGGTTAGGTTAATCGGCTTAAGGCTCATCTTGTTGCAAAAGGATACACTCAGATTTTTGGGCTTGATTATAGTGACATTTTCTCTCCCGTGTCTAAAGTAGCATCTATTCGTCTCTTTTTGTCCATGGTTGTTGTATGTCATTGGCCTCTTTATCAGTTAGACATTAAGAATGTTTTTCTCCACAATGATCTTGAGGAAGAAATTTATATGAAGCAACCACCTGGTTTTGTTGCTCAGGGGGAGTCTAGTGGTCTTGTATGCCGATTGTGCCGGTCACTATATGGTTTGAAACAGTCCCTTCGAGCTTGGTTTGGTAAGTTTAGCACAGTTATTTAGGAGTTCGGCAAGACTCGTAGTGAAACTGATCACTCTGTGTTTTATCGGCATTCTGCTCCTAATCTGTGTATTTATCTGGTGGTTTATGTTGATGATATTGTTATTACTGGCAATGATTAGGATGGTATTACTAATCTGAAGCAGCATCTCTTTCAACACTTCCAAACTAAGGATCTGACAGATTGAAGTATTTTCTAAGCATTGAGGTCGCTCAGTCTAGCTCAGGTATTGTTATTTCACAGAGGAAGCATGCCTTAGACATTCTTGAGGAGACTGGAATGATGGGCTGCAGACCTGTTGACACTTCTATGGATCT